CTGGCTAACCTCTTCTGGCTGCATGCATCTCTGGCCTCCGAGTCATCCTCTGTCTCAGGGTCTCTCTCCCCCTCCTCGTCCAAGATTTCCTCCTCCTGGCTCAGTCCACTCTCAACTGGCATGTAAGCCACCGAAGTATCCACAGTGGTCTTTGCAGTGGAGGTGGGGTCGCCGCCGAATATTGCATCCAGCTCTTTGTAGAACTGGCAGTTCGTGGGTGCAGCGCCGGAGCAGCTGTTTGCCTCCTGCACCTTGTGGTAGGCATTCCACAGCTCCTTCACTTTGACCGTGCACTGCAGTGTGTCCTGGTCATGGCCCCTTTCTGTCATGCATCATGAAATCTGTCTGTAGGTATCCTCTCCCCAAATGCTGATGAGGAGCAGCTCGGCATTGCTCCAAGCGGGGGATCACCTGGTTCATGGAGCAGGCATGGCCACCTGGAAAAACGCACTGAGACGACTGCATGCATCACCGAGCAAACAGGAAGGGGGGCCAGGGCTGGGCGTACATGTGAGACTCTGTCCCTCTTACTTGCTATCTTTGTGTACCTGGCGTGGAGGGGCAGAATCCCGGGATGTTTCTGGGGCAGGCCCAGCTCTTGCACTGTGTCAGGGTCGGGTGCAGCCTCACCACTGAGTCCATGTCTGGGCAGGGGAAAGGGCAGGGAGGGACTACAGGGCAATCTCCCACCTCCGTGCAGTCAGTGGCCTGTGTTCCCTACTGCCATGCTGGAGCCTCCACATTTATTGATGGATTGATTTCTATATTTATTCCCTTCTGTGCCAGGTGTGGACAGGCAGGCTCAGCAAGGCAGGATCCAAGCTTGGGGGGATCCAGGTGTGGGTTGAGAGGATTCTGTGTGGGGCAATCTGGGGGTGGGCAGCTCAGTGGGGGATCCGGGTGCAGGGGGGATCTGGATGCACAGGGGCTTGCTAAGGGGTTCTGCGTGCAACAGTAACGGGACTCTGCAGAGGGGTCCAGGTGAAGGTGGTTGGGGCTCAGCGTTGGGGGTATGGGTGTGGGGGATAGAGCTTGGCAGGGGTGTATGGGTGCGAGGGACTCAGTGGGGGGGTCCAGGTGCAGCTGGTTGGAGCTTGGTGGGGTGTAGATCTGGCTGCGGGTGGCTTTTGGGGTGGTGCAGGGGGAGTGGGACTCATTGGAGGAAGGGGTTATGAGTGCGGGAGGGTGAGGCTTGGTGGGAGGATCTGGGTATAAGGGGGTCTGGATGCACAGGGTTTGGGTGGATGGGGGAGAAGCTCGCTGTACAAGGTCCCTCCCCCTGCAGCTGAGGAGCGATGGGTACAGTAAGTGGGGAGAGAGGGGGAGGACAGAGGGGGAGTTTGCAGAACTTCCTTCAGCCAGGGGAGAAATCTGGGGGTGGGTCTGACCCGGCCCTGGATGCAGTGCAAGGGAAGAGGAAGTCCCATCCTCCCCAGCCCATCTGGGACAAGCAGCTGAGCCCGGTACAGGGTAGGAGCCACCAGCTGGGTCTTCCCCAGTCCCTCCTCCTGGCCCACAGTTTTACCTCTCTGCTGGCTGCCCTGGGCCCCCGAAACATACTGGGGAGGGTTGCATCACCGCTCTTGTGACTTCCTTTTGCTTCTCCGTGAGAGAGTCATTTTTCTGTGGGGAAGCAAAGAAATCTACAGGGAACATAAATTCTATGCATGTGCAGTGGTGCATAATTCCCCCATGTATAATTTATATACCTTCTGTGATTGCAGTGTGGGGGTTTGTCAGGTTTCATTTTTCTGGAGTGGGGTTCAGCTTCCAAAGGTTTGAGAAACGCTGACCTAGTAGTAATGTCAGAAGACTTTTGTGTTGTGTTCTCAACCCTTCTGTTGTGTGACCTTTGGCAAGTTTCTTATCCATTCTTCACCTCAGTTTCTCCACTTGTAAAAGAGGGTTAGTAATACCCCCTCCCCTTGTAAAGCACTTGGACATTATCAGATGAAAGGAGAAATAGCCATTTAAATTATTATTGTCATGGTTTATGATTAGATATATTAGATATATTTTAAAATATTATATAAATAAATATATTATATAAAATATTAAAATATTTAAAATATATTTTAAAATTTTGGAAACAGAATCAATATTGTGACAACTTTTTTTTTAATTAAGTTTTAATTACAACTTGCTATTTTCTTTGAAACAGACTAGATTACTTCTTCTCTAAGAAAAGGTTGTCTCCACTTTGCATATACTCCAGGTTATTGTGGTGAAAATACAGCTACAAAACTGAGTGCCACAAATTGAATAGCTAATGAATCAACCATTGAGGCTGTTATGCGCCTTTGAGCTTGAGCCTCTTAATATAATGATAAATGACGCTTCTGAAAAAAGTGTGTGTGGGATCAACATCTGGCATTTAGATTTTAAGTGGCAGGCCAGCCTTATCTATTTTGTCATGAAAGTTTTTCTTGTATTTGGACTGATTTCTTATCGTCGTGCATACGGTGCATGTGAAAATGATTGAATTAGTTGATGAATTAGGGAACTGTGGACTTTTTGTTTTGAAAGATGAACAGTAATAAATGGAATACAAGGTTTTAAAAACAAAGGCGTTAGCAAGGTGTAGAAACAGAGTGGAAGATTTTCAAAAGCATCTTTGGGGTTTAGGAACACATCCCATTAAAGTGGACATATGTTCCTAAATCCCTTGAGCGCTTTTGAAAACCTCCGTCAGAACACAGAAATCTTAATGACATTGCTTCATCCAAGATGATGTAATTTCATCCCTTTTTCTAGACAGTGATATTAGTAACCTGTACACAACTAAAGATTGGTGTTTTCTTTAACTTGTTAAGGGTGAAGTTCTGTGTTCCAGTTGCTGAGCAGTTTTACTGAAAAATGCAGTGACATTTTTCCCTTTCACAATTAAAAATGTCAACTTTGATCCAAAATTACCTATTAACAGTAGGTAAGAGACATAGTCACACATACATCTGACCTTCAGGATCATATGTGACATACACTTCGACATGTTATTACTGATTGTGCTGGTCCATTAGAGCAGTGGTTCTCAACGAGGGGTACACACAGTGGTGAGCTGGAGCCGGTTCGCGCCAGTTCGCGCGAACCGGTGGTTAAATTTAGAAGCCAGTTTAGAACTGGTTGTTAAAGGGGTGGGCAAACTCCCATCCGTGCCGTCTGAGCTCTCGGCTGGGGAGGCTCCCCTGTGAATTTTTACTCGCTCGGTGGCACTCCGAGCCTTCGGCAGCGGGTCCTTCAGTGCCGCCGAAGACCCGGAGCTGCTGAAGGAACCGGTTCTTCAGCTTCTGGCAGCTCATCACTGGGTCCACGTAACCCTGGCGATACACAGAGGTCTTCCAGAGAGTACGTCAACTCATCTAGATACAGTATTTGTCTAGTTTTATAGTAGTTTACAGGAATAGACTCAATATGGAGAAAAACTTAATTGTTGCTGTTGCTTTACTGCCTCCCAGAATGACAAGGCTCACAAGTGAAAAGCAGGCTCAAGGATCACACAGAAATGCAAGTACAATATTTATATTCCAATCAATTTATTTTATAATTATATGGTAAAAAGGAGAAAGTAAGCAATATTTCAGTAACAGTGTGCTGTGACATGTTTGTATTTTTATGTCTGATTTTGTAAGCAAGTAGTTTTGAAGTGAGGTGAGACTTAGGGTACGCAAGACAAATCAGACCCTTGAAATGTGTACAGTAGTCTGGAAAGGTTGAGAATCGCTGCGTTAGAGGATTGGCTTTTGAAGTGTGCAGTTTATTACTTTTAGATCAGAAGGAAATATGCCCAATGGGATCTTAGGGATTTCTACTATGAAGGGATAGTAATTTGTGAAGGTAGCATAGTACGTAATGAGGTCAAAGTTAATTTTGTTCCTTATCTAAGTTTTATTTCTGCTCCATGACCATAAAATGTTCTTTATTTATTACCTATGTTTATTAAATGTTGTGCTGATCCATGTCCATCCAAATTAGATTTCTTTTTAAGCATCCCCAGCATCAGTTGGTTGCCTAGGTATAGAGAGTTGGATTGACGAGATATTTGAATGCCAGCTGGCAATCCAAACTCTGGAGGATTAACAAAGAGAGAATATACGAAGCTCTACTCAATGGCATTACAGAAACAGTGGGTGCTTGGTTGTCAGAGTCTGTTTAGGTTTCTGAGGCTCCATCTACATATTCTATTATTTCTTCCAGAATTTTTGTGGGGTTTGATGATAATTAAGAATATTATGAATATACAGATACTGTTTTGGAAACTTAGGTATAAAATGTGTGGCAGGTTAAAGTATGTGGCTTTTTTTGCACTTGGCACAAGCATGTTATTTTTTTGTTTTGTGGGAAGAAATGGCAATTTGTCTCACATTTCCAGCACATGTTAAAAACTAAATGCATAAAAACAGCAGCAAAACCCACCTGTCTAGTGATTTAGTACTCCTATTACTGCAAAATATATACTGTTACACAAAAGCAGATCTGAGGTGGTAATATACTTGCACATTTTAGATATGATCCAGATTTATAGCTTTGTGAAATTTTTCTTGGGCTCTGACAAATTCAAAGCCTAAGTTACACTGATTGTTATTTTTATTAACATACCAGAGTTAGGTGGGTCAATAAAAATGTCCTATGCCTTGGTGTTAAACCTCCGTTTACAGTCTGAGCAGCTTGAGTCCTTAGCAGAGTCTCTTTTGTAGCATGATTATGCTGGCCATGTTGCTCTTTGTAACAAGGTGACTGGATTGCCTTCATTGGTAAAACTGGCTATTGTCATGGTACCATTCATCTGAGTGGTCATAGCAGAGCCCTATGTTTCAGCCCCATTTCCTCCCATCAGCTCAATAATTTCACATTACTGAAGTGCTGATTATGAAGTGAAACATTGGCCATATAACATGTCCTTCTGAATTTTGTTTCTGTTGTGAGGCATAGTGCATATTGCTACATATTTTTTTTTCCCCAGTTAATGATCATGTGACTATTAACAGCCTTATCTTTGTCTGTAGTAAGAGGTCAGGAATCTTCACTGCCATGTCTGCGAAACTATCTGAAACCCAAAATATTTGCATTCAAAGGCATTATCAGAAGACTTCTATGAAATCAAAATCTTGCCCATGCATTGAGAGGTGAGTATGTCTGTGGCTTCAATGTGATAATCAAATTTTAAAGAGGCTGTTCTACTCTGAAATATAATCATGTTTAAAAATAGCCTAGTGGAGTTCCATGTTTGTATCTCAGTGACTTCCATATAAAATATTCTTAGTATAAAAGTGGATCGAGTGGTTTATACCAGCCTACCTTGAAGCTTCAAATTGGGCCCTGAGTAATAAACTGGGTCTTTTCTTGTGCATTTTCACCCTTTAATGAAGGTTCTGCAGGCCATGTTAGTCCCTCAGTTACCTGTGTGCAACCCTATGGTCTTGATGAATGAACTACAGGTATATCACTTCTTAAAATCAAAGTTGTTACAGTGTTAGTTTAATAAATGGCAGTTTGTAATTAAACTTTTAAATACTTTTCATGGTGAGAAGTATATTTAGCACAGGGAATTTTAGAGCGATGGGGTATGTAAAATGGGTGGCCTCTTCCTTCAGAACAGGTCTTGAAGATGGAACTGTACTGCTGTGCCTGGTAATGTTACAGGGACACCGTCGACAGAAAAATCACATTTCTCTCTGAAAAATCTTGTACCTACTGTCGTACAAGTAACATCTGAGATTATTATAACTGGAAGATTAGAGAAACTTCTTTGAGTTTGCTTACTTTGTGCATTTGATAGCACGTTGTGTGCAGCCATTTTCCGCATTTCCCTATGTAGCTAATTATTTAATCACTTTTCCCTGTTGTCTTTCACACAGCAACAGGGAAAAGGGAAAAGCATTTTCTAAAAAAAAAAAAAAAAAAAAAAAAAAGGAAAATGTTGTTATAAAATCCAAAACTGGTGGATGGGACTCTAGAGCAAGGGAACTACTTGATACTATTTTTAACTCTTTTTGCATCTTACTAGGTATGAAGCTGTATTGGGACCCCAGGTAATTAGTGGGGTGGCTAGCCCACGTTGAAGCCCATGCTGCCACGGCTTCACTGCTTCGGTATCTGAGCTATCAGGATTAAAGTTTCAATCAGATTCCGTGGTTGCAAGTGACCACAGCCTTAGATGTTGAAATTTTAACATATTTCCCGTAGTATTTAGTGGTATTGATCAACCTGTGTTTGGAAGATCACAAACTGCTGGAGTAAACAGTAGTCTTAAACATGCAGCTTCTTCACAAGAACCACAGCTGACCTGCTCTGACCCATAATTGATTTGCTTGGTCACTTGCAAATGGACATAGACATCAGGAAAGACCTTAAGGTTGCTGATTCCCACAGTAGCTCCTTTGTTCAGTGGTAACTCTGACACCAGGGTACTGCAATGCTCAGAAAAATGAGGACAATAGAAAAAGTTTATTTCAGACTTTTGTACCATACGCAAATGTTAATCTAATGGCCTGTGGCTTCCAACCCCTAGAGTCTAGACAAAGGATTCATGCCCCAGGCTGTGGTTTGCACATTCCAGCAGGTGATTGCAAAGCAACAGCAGCAATGGGATTTCAGGGAAGGCACCTGCACTTCATTGAACAGCCTGACAGCCACTGTGGAAGACAAATTTTGCATTTGGAAGTGCTCTGAGGATGCCTGCAAGTCCTATTGAAGTTAGCAGTAGTCTTTCCATTGACTTTAATGGCAGTTAGATTAGACCTTTTATGAGTACACATGGAGCTGAGGAGAGGTATAGCATCCCACCAAAGTTTGGTTTGGAGTTGGCACTGTTGATAAAGTATCTTGGGACTTGACACCACATTTGAAAAGTGATAGTGAACACACAAGATTCTGGGATACATTTGAGAGGTATTAGTGATGAGTGACTGAACGTGGAGCCATGATATGAAAAAAGACTGTGAACCTCAGGGGAGGGGTGAACAGAATAATTTCACATAATTTGAATGAATTCTGTTACTTTTCAAAACTAAATTGGCTTAAAGCTCAAAAAAAAGTAACATGAATGCATGAGGAACTAAGCGTGCAGTTAACATCTTGTGCCACTTCAATAGGCTGTTGTGAAGTGCAGTAAGCAAAGGCTTTAGATCAAAGCAAGAAATCAAAACTGATAGGGCTGCAAGTTAACACTCTATGTGAGAACACAACATTTTACAAAGACAGGTTTGACATGTGGATTTATGAAGTGGTGGCTTCTCTCTCTCCTGATCACTTTCTTGTGCTGAGGGGTTAAAGGTTTTAGCCACCTGTCAGCTCTGTTTTGCACATAAGTCCAGTAATATTTTCCCTTTTTATTTGTTTTTAGTATGCCATCAGAGATACTCCTGAAGATATTTTCTTATTTGGATGCTGTATCCCTGTTGTGTATCGGTTGTGTGAATAAACGCTTCTATCATCTGGCCAGTGACAAGTAAGAAGGGGGGAAACATAGTAATCTCAATCTCACAGCAGTCAAGTTAACCTGGGTTATATAAGACTTTTTAATTTAGTTTCATTGATGCCAGGGAATTGATGTAAGTACCCAGCAGCTATTTTTCTGTTGTATTGCAATCTGTATGGTAAATTTTCAATATATTGCATGCAGTTTTAGCTGTGTGAGTTCCATTAAAGTTAATGGGACTTACGTGGCTAAAACCAAGCACGCTGCTTTGAAAATTTACCCGTTTGCATTTATTGCTTCATAAGATCCATTTATACTTTTTTTTTCTGATTTAGATAAACCAGCACAGGATGCCGGGCTCCCTCCTCACAGGCAGGGATTTTCACACCTTCCTTTCAGGTTCCTTCTTTTTCATTCCAGTTTTTTCCTGCTTTGTTGCAGGGGGTTTAAGTAGCCAGGCAGTTCTGGTGGTGGTTTCAGCTGCTTCCATTTGTCACAGTGCAATGAATTTATTTTTGATCAAAACAGGAGGAAAAAGCAAATAGAAGAAGGTTTATCGCAGGGGTATCAGTTGAAAGGGCTAAATTCCATGTTTAATTATGGTCCATGGGTCAGAGTATAAATTTAAGACTCAATTCATAGTGATCTCCCACTGATGTCACTGGGAGCTTTGAAGATGGATCAAATGGAGAAGCCAACCTGTATGTAGTAATTAAAATGTTTAGGTATAATTTTTTCAGTACCTTGTTACTGTATTTAGTGTCACTTAGGGAAAAAATATGCTTCCCTGTAGACCCACCCCTATTTCTCCAATTTCTCCCACTCCATTTCCTACCCCATCTGCTAAAATGATATGCACTGAAATTGTTACTGTTGTCACTGAAGTGTCATTGCTGGGCTTTGGAGCAGATACTCCAGTAAGATTAAGGAGTCAGGGAACTCCGCACCTCTGAGTTACGGTCCAAAATGACTGCTTTCATCTGCTGACATTCACTGCATTGATTGCATTTGGTTCACATATGGTAGATTTACTTTGCAACCACGAGGGCTAGAAATAAATAACCTCGGATTTCATTTCATTTTAAAATGTGATTATATCACACAGGCCACATAAATGCAAGGGGGCACCCCTGGTTTAGGGAGCTTGTGGCTTGTAATAATTCCTTTGCCTTTTCCCAGCTACTTTCTTCTGCTCACACCATGAATGACTGCAACTACTGTCAGTGGGAGAGATTGCAATAACTTAGTTTGGGGCATGCCTTCCTCCTAGTTGGTAAATGCTGTACTAGACACCTCAGGGATGTTTTGGACCTTTCTGAGAACAAGGTCTCCTTTCCTATCTCAGCCTCCAGTGCTAAACATTTTCAGCTCTCTGTCCTGCTTCTGGGATTTTTTCTGAATTCTAACTTCTCCATCCTGAATTCCTTTTTCAAATCAGAATCTAGGAGTGGGAGGAAAGAGGAGGAGATCTTGAAAGCTTGGGCTGTTGGTGGTATGATCTTTGCAACCTCTTACAGGGGGCCTCTCTGCAGCTCCCCAGTTGTGCCTCCCAGGCTGTATGCTTTACACAGCCTCAGCTCAAAGAGTTAAAGAGAGGAAGCTTCACATAAATCTTACATGAATTAGACTATCAGACGAATGTTGATTTCCCAGAGAATCCCGTACAAAAGGAATGATGTACTCATAAGACGAGAGAGCTTGGTGGTAGTGATGTGTAGTGACTTACATTAACCACTGAGGGCACGGGAAACAGGCTGATATGAGAGAGACTGACTGTTCTCTTGGACAGAGGTCAGCCTGGGAGCCATCTAAGCCCTGAATATTTTATGGCAAAAGACCCAGAGAAACATACTAGAGCAGGTTAACATAGTTTTCATCTGGGAAAAAGCAGGGACTGGTAAGGAAGACTTGGCTGGCCAGTGGATGTGAAAATCCTGTGGTGAGGCTAATTTCTAAGTGTGAAATAAAACACCATAATGTGTCTCTGGTATAATTACTATGGACTGTGTGGTTGATATTTTGGTAGCACATCCTGTTCATCATTTGTAAAATTGTATTCAGAGGATAAATGGTAACATATTTATTGCATGCTGTCCCCCTTTCCCTCCCCCTCATCTCTAATTTGTATGATTTTAACATATTTTAATGAGGAAAGGACAGCCCCAGAGGGAAAGAATTAGAACATGAGGAAAGAAGGATGCTTTTTAAATGCATACAAAAATGCATGAGAAAGAGAGAGAGATGTTGTCTAGTGCTGCATCACAAGACTAGGGATTGGGAAGTCCTGAGTTCTTCGTCTGGCCCTGAAACAGACTCTTTTAGGCATTGGGCAATCCTTTAACCTTGCTGTCTCATTTTTCCCATACATAAGTGATACTTATCTACCTTCCTGGGGTATAGTGGGGATTAACTAGATAACATTTATAAAACACTCTAGATGTGGAAAAGTGGCAACTCTTGGGTGGCTTGGAGCCACTGTAGCAGCTTTGCTGGTACCCTCTTCTGGCCATGGTGCAAGGGATGTGCTTGGGACAAAAAGGGCATGTTCAGTACATCCCTGGTATGACCTAGCTGCTGAATTAGGCCTTGGGGACATTAACAGCCAGCACAATTTAAAGCAGCCTTCTAATTTGTACCAGGTGGCTGCCCTGACATTGAGTTGGCTGAGGACAGGTGGGGGAATGCAGCACAAATGGCACTTTTGCATCTTCCTGTTGGTTATTATTATGATGTCCTTCCTCAGTTTTTGTTCAGACAGTCCCACAGATCTTAGTGATAATTGATTGAGAAGGTAATGAGTAATAAGTAGGATGTATCTGATGTAGTATGATGTCAGGTAAAACTTTTTATATCCAACAAAAATATCAAGATGTGTATAAATGCCCTTTGGTTCTCATTTTGTGACTTGTCGTTCCCCCAGCAATATAAATTCTAGCATATCTGCACTAATACAGAATATGGGGTTTAACAACAAACTAAAAGAAGGGGAAATTATGAATACAGAAGGACAACAGCCATTGAGGCAAAACCTAGATGTTGGGACTTTCTAGAAATGATTTGTATTCCCTTTATCCACCTAAATCAAACAAACCCAACTTGTTCTTAAAGTTGGTTAATATATTTTTTTCTTAATAAGATTCTCAATAATGCGTGAGATGCACATGCAACTGTATATTTTAATTCTGATGCTTGTGGGTCTGTTCTTTACTGGTCTGTGCCCTCACTGGTAATAACTCTTTATGGGATTCACTTTGTCTCTTGAATGTTTTTTCCAGTGTGATCTGGTTCAAAATTTACTCCAGTTTTTTTCCACCTAAAAGAACAAATTGGAAAACTAACTCTGTTGAAAAAACAGCTGTCTTACTAAGCCATGCTATGATTCAGGACAGAGAATTGGGATATTGGAAGAACGAATATATCATGAAACAAATAGCAGCTGGCAAAACTAGAATAATTCAGCTTCTGAAACCTAGAAACCCTTACACTGGCCTTCCACTTAAAACCAAAGAGGCTATCAAGTAAGTAATGTCTTGTCATAAAGTGTGTTTACTCCCAGGCTACATTCAGAATGTTGGCGTAGTGGTTTTATATGGTATCTGTATATGGGGAAATAGAGATGCTAATTCAGATCATGATGGGGAGATGCTATCACTATCTGATTAATGTGGTTTAGTCACAAGATAAAACTTAATGAAAATAGAAGTGAAATAAGACATTTCTTTAAGTTTTGCTTGCAGGGAAAAAGACACTTCAAGAGAAATCACCTTGGTTATTTCCATTGAAAGTAATAGGAAGGATACATGCTCTTCTTCAAGGAATCCCCAGGGACATTGCTGACTGAATTTCTAAAGTTCCATACGTTGTTCTTATCACCTCTGGGAGGTTGTTTTAAAAACTTTTTTTATTGTTTTTACTTCCTCGATAACAGAACATGTGATTTGAATTGGGTGATTGTACTGAAGGACAGAAATGGAAAGGAACATGTAATGGAGCAGGTGGACATCTCTTTTAATGACACATCTGTTACTGTATTTTGGTATGGTACAAACTGGCCATGTTTAGACACCTTGTCAACTCTGGAATTATGTGGAGTGACACCATTGCTTCTTGACCAATGTAAAGTTCCCCCCAAGAATGGGTGAGTTTAAATTAAAGTATTTTCATACAATTAAATATTGTTGGAATAGTCTGTGTGGAAATTGCCTGACCTAAAACTGTCCCAACCAGTGAATTATTTTGAGTCCTTCTACAGCCTATCCTAGGAAATCTATTTCTTGTTCTTCATGTCTCCAGAGAGAATAGAGAATTGAACAAAATTATATATTATTTATTTATTATTACATTATTTTATGAACTGAGTAGGTGTGATATAGTGACTGGCCATGTACAATACAGAAAAATAAAGACACTTCCTGTCTTGGAAAACTGACAGTCTAAGCATAGGTATAAATAAGATAGAATGGTAAATCCAGACTCATGGAAAACTTGTAATTAAAAATCCGTGAGAACAATTCTTTGCCTCTATTTAATCATATATATTAATCTAAGACGTTTGTTACACAAATAAGAAAATGTTGTTAAAATATATTTTAACCTGAATTTTTTTTGTTTAAAACAAATGTGTGTATGTTTGGAAAACCTAAATGAATAAAAGGGAGATTTTAATAAATTCTTTAAAACATCCATGATAGGATTTCTTTGGTGTAAGTGGAAGGGTTTCAGAGTGTTAGTCAGTAATTTAAATGTTTGTGTGAGATGTGAAATTGCACACAACAGTATGGTAGTGCATAAGACCTGGAACACAAACGTGTTGATCTAGTGTCATTGTCCAGGAAGAGTGAGTGATGTATGTGGAGAAGAGAAAATATATATATATATATATATATATATTTAAATTCTTTGATGTTGTTGGTAACATGCCCATTGACTTTCTTTACCCTCAACAACCTCATGTATTTTTTAAAATTGCTGATCTAACTCTTTGTGATCTGTTAACTGAAATAGTTTACAAAGTAAATGTTCTCATGTCTGGAAAGAAGACTTTTTGAGCCTGTCCTACACAATCTGGTTTATTAGGGAAGGCGGTATGTTTGTACCTCTGGGAACTTCCACTTTTAGTTGATTAGCCATAGCCATTGAGAGGTGTTTGGCTATGATTAAAAGAAGACTTTATGCATATAAAAAGTAAAGTGTTTTTCTTCTTATTGGAAAATGTTGGCTTATTTTGGTTTCCCTGGGTAACTTACCAATCCTTGGCTGGAACTATATTAACAAGTATTCCAGTTAACAAATCACAACGAATTAGACTTCTGATTTTTAAGAAAAAGTACATGTGATTGTGAAATTTGTTGTTTTTTCACAGGACAGTCCGTACCATCAAGTTCCCTAGGATTTTTTTTAAAATGGCTCCAGAGGCAATCCTGGCAATTACAGGCTAATAACCCTAACTTTAGTACTAAGCAAATTGTTTGAAACTGTAGTAAAGAACAGAATTACCGTACACACAGATGAATATGATATGCTGGGGAAGAATCAGTGTGACCTTAGTAAAGGGAAATCATGCCTCATAAATCTATTAGAATTCTTTGAGGGGGTCAACAAGCATATGGACAAGGGTGATCCCGTGGATATAATGTACTTGGATTTTCAGAAAGCCTTTGACAAGTTCCCTTACCAAAGGCTCTTAAGCAAAGTAAGCAGTCAAGGGACAATAGGGAAGGTTTCCTCTTGGATCAGCGACTGGTTAAAAGATAGGAAACAAAAGATAGGAATAAATGGTAAGTTTTTATAGTGGAGAGAGGTAAATAGTGGTATATCCCAAAGATCTGTGCTAGGACCTGTGCTGTTCAACATATTTATAAATGATCTGAAAAAAGGGGAAAACAGTAAGGTGGCCAACTTTGCAGACAATACAAAATTACTCAAGATAGTTAAATCCCAGCAGTCTGTGAAGAGTTACAAAAGGATCTCACAAAACAGGGCAACAAAATGGAGGATGAAATTCAGTGTTGATAAATCGAAAGTAATGTACACTAGAAAACATAATCTCAACTATACATACAAAATGATGGGGTCTAAATTAGCTGTCAGCCCTCAAGAAAGACACCTTGCAGTCATGGATAGTTCTCTGAAAAAATCTGCTCAATGCTCAGCTGCAGTCAAAAAATCTAACAGAATATTAGGAATCATAAGGAAGGGGAGAAAAAATAAGGCAGAATATACCATATTGCCACTTTATAAATCCATGGTACATCCACACTTCGAATACTGCATTGCAGTTCTGGTCGACCCATGTCAAGAAAGATATATTAGAATTTGAAAAAAGTACAGAGAAAGGCAACAAAAATGATTAGTTACTACATGAGGAGAGACTAAAAAGACTCTGACTGTTCATCTTAGAAAAGAGACAGCTAAGAGGGGATATGATAGAGGTCTATAAAATCATGAATGTTGTGGAGAAAGTGAGTAAGGAAGTGTTATTTACCTCTTTCTGCTGTTTTGAACCTTTCTCTTTTTCTTTTTTTCCTTTCTTGCCATTTTAAAACGTTCTCTACTTTTCCTTTCCTGCAGTTTTAAAACTTTCTTTTTCTCTTTTTCTCACTATGCAATAATCCACTTTCTTTTGTAAATTACTGGAAAAGGGACTAATCTGTATTTACTAAACTTTATTTAAAATGCGTAAAAATCTGTTTTCTTCTGAAAATCATCTAATGTTAACATGTGTGAAAAAACACATAGAAGCAGTCCTAATGCACCCCATAAAAGAAAAACTAAAACATTATTTCAAAATGGCTGCCTGGGAAGTATTTTTTTCTTCCCTAGCTTCCTGAACATCACAGGAAGCTGTAAGTGGACCATGGCAGTAGGCAAGCTGGAAGTTGCAAAGGTGTGAGTAACTGTTGTAAGGTTCACCTTTCTTCACCTACTGCTGTATTGGTAGATGAAGAAAGGTAATACTGCTACTATCAGGAAATCCAGGAACCATTTTGGATCTAATTAGGATTCTGAAGCTGTGAACTATTTTAGCAGAAGCTAGTTCTCCTCAATCGATAATACAGTCTCTTTGTTCCTACTACGTGTTCCTCCTAAATGTCTCATTTGCCAACAAGCATCCCTTCTTCCTTATTTGGATGAGTTGCTGCTTGTTCATTTTCATCCAGATCCTTGTTCTTGGTCACACACTGGGAGAGTTATTGCGCCTAAAGAATCTGAATTTCAGTAAAAGGACATGTAGTCTTATATCCTAAAAATTACACTTCTGAAGTTCTAGGAATGAAGAACTGAGTATTACAAGCATATTGATATGGTTGGGATGTGTTTGCAGCTGCAATTGCTTGCTGATAGCATCCTGCTTTTTTTTTAAAACAAACACACACACACACACACACACACAAAAACATAGAAGCATGGGAAGAGTGACACTATGGATCTTTACAAGGGTCTTTGTGGAGACTGAGCAATTGCCAAACAATATCTTGTGAAACTGATGGGAAGGATTGAACACACTATAGAGCCACTACTTACATTCCTGCAAGCAGCCAACAATAGGCAATAGTCAATGGTATTAAATATACATTCTACACCAATTTTTCATCCCAGATTGGTAAAAAAAACCTGAAAAATACAACTGTATAGTAAATGACCTTTTGGTTCAAATTTCACTTGTTCTGAGAAAGCTTTACCTTCCTAAATTGCCTGCTTAATGTTGATGAATATTTCATGATTCCCTTTGCTATGGAAACATTTTCTTTATAATGACACATTTGTTAATAAAATAACTCTCTGGGCATTTAAGAAATTTAGTGAGCATATCAGTTCCTCTTGTTGAACTGTACAGTGGATATGTAATACCAGCCTGTGATAGATTTTGGTAGACATCCTTATTGGAGATTCTCTTCCCACTAGGCTTTGCAGTCCTGCTGGTAAGCTGCTAGTTAGACTTTTTACTGCTTCTCATACTGCACAGTTTCAGAACAATTTGTTTTAATGCCCAGGGAGAAAATGAAAAGTGGCTGAACTTTCATATTAATACTGGCACTCTCGTGTCTTTCTTTACTCTGCTATGTCTCTTCAAAGACCACGGCGACGTTCCTTAATTGCTGAGTTCAACCTTACTAACCTCACTAAAGTGACAACAATGATTGGTTCTGACATGCTTGTGCAACTTTTCCATCTGAACCCAGGACTCCTGGTGGGTCTCTGGAAGGTAAGACTACATTCAGCTACAGTATATTATTCATTATGGTAGCCTGGAAGGCACAGTTTCCTCCATCTTTCCTTTTTTTTCTTTTGTAAAATTCAGACATATATATGCAGATAAAGAAGATGCGTGCAAATTACTTCCATAGCCTAATAGGAATCCACAGTCAAGGCCCCCTGTACTATTTTGGAACACCTTCATTTATGCTTTAAAAATATAGATTTCTAATTATTTCAGTGTAACATTCATATGTGCATTGTACGGTTTATTTTCCTCTTCCAGTTTTTGATGTGCCCGGGATTTTTTTAATTGACATAGTATCACAGTTCAAGGGCAAGCTGCACCTGTGATCTCTCCCCCAGACTTTCTGTGGGCACTCTTTCCAAGAGACAGGCCCTGATCTGCATTCTCCCAGAGTGCTACTCTGTGGTTCCCCCGACTTTAGACTGGATCACCAGGCTACATACAACACCACCTATTCTCACTGTACTGTCACAGTTACAGGGCATGAGCTGCCTTAGACCCCTTTACAGTCCTTTATGAGTGCTCTCCTCAGGTGACAGTGCTAATTATAAGGTAGAAAAATAAGATTAATGAATTGTTGCTGATACTGCAGAGAATCTTCCTGTATGGGTAGCTATCCAGTGGTGCTTCATGTGTTCTTGTGCTGGGACAATGTTTATGGTAGCATTCTATGTGACTAGTGGCCCACGTATAACTATTATTAAAATTGTACTAATGCGTTGTGGTAATCTTGCAGCAGCAAAAGAAGAAGCATTTATTTGTGGGCTTTAATGCACAATACTTCCAGGTGAGAAAGGTATTCATTGTAATTAACTTTTCAGAAAGGAAATGGAATTGCTTTTGTTACGGCAAGTCTTCATCATCATCAACTTATTGAGAGAAGCACTTTGGGCTCTGCCACTATGTAAGTACTGGTTTCTCTTTGCCTGTGGATGCTAGGGATGATCTTTTAAATAAAGCATTGAGTTTGAAAATTAAAATTGATTGGTGATCAAGAAAGTTCAGTAACAATTGTAGTTCCCCCTAACCAAGAATAAGAACTCTGTTGTGCACTGGAGTTGCAATAACTGGTTTACAAAATGGCGTGGAATAGGCCTGTGTTTTCCATGCTAAAATGTACTGTGGTGAAGTAATATATTAAAGAGACCCTGTAAACTTAATTACACATGTGTCTGAAACCTTTCACTGTAGCTGAAAGAAATTAGAAATTTTTCTGTATTTTTTTTCTTTTGTTTATTTTCGTCACTTTCTCCTGATGTGTGACAGACCCACAGGGAAGAGGGACATTTTAAAAAATAGGAAAATGTCATTGTAAATCCACAAAAAGTGGCAGGGTGATTTAATTTAGAACCTGAATCTACTTTTAAATCTTATTGAAAAAGTTATTAGATTTCTAGTAGACAGTGTCCTTTAAATAGGTGTATATATAACACTGTATATTAATGCAATATATTCATGTGTGAGTTTTTCCTCACACATGTCAAAATAATGGTTACAATGATTACTATGTCAACTAGCCTTCCTGAGCAGCTCTTTTTTCTTCTTCTTCATACCCTTTCCTCCCAGGCTGAAGGAGCATTTTATCTGGTGTAGATATGATGTCTTTCTCTCCCCCCCTCCCAGCCCCCTTCATTAGGATTCATTTCACACACACAATATCTAATAACTTTCACTCCACTGGGACAGTCATTTATATGGGAAAAAATTTCCAATATGTTTAAGTGACTTAGTTTGTTAAGTGTAAGTGACTTAAGAGCCTGCCTCATTGACCTTCATTGGGACCTATGTCACTTAGGTGCTTCTGAAAATGTTACCCCACACCAGTGATTCAATAATCTTCTTCTTCCACTAGGGTTCAGGCACAGGGAGACTATTTCCCTGCCTGCTGTTAGAACGGCGGTTCTCAACCCGCGGAATGTGGGCCAATTAGAACACAGCTGTGGCCCAGGTCAGCTGTGTGCTTGTCAAGGTTCCTTCCCCACTCTGAACTCTAGGGTACAGATGTGAGGACCTGCATGAAAACCCCCTAAGCTTATTTTTACCAGCTTAGGTTAAAACTTCCCCAAGGTACAAACTATTTTACCTTTTGCCCTTGTACTTTATCCCTGCCACCACCAAGCGTCTAACAGAGATATAACTGAGAAAGAGCCCGCTTGGAAATATCTTTCCCCCCAAAATCCTCCCCAAACCCTACACCCCCTTTCCTGGGGAAGGCTTGATAAAAATCAATTTGCATAGGTGAACACAGACCCAAACCCTTGGATCTCAAGAACAATGAAAAAAGCAATCAGGTTCTTAAAAGAAGAATTTTAATAGAAGAAACAGTAAAAAGAATCACCTCTGTAAAATCAGGATGGTAAATACCTTACAGGGTAATCAGATTCAAAACATAGAGAATCCCTCTAGGCGAAACCTTAAGTTACAAAAAGACACAAAAACAGGAATCTACATTCCATTCAGCACAGCTTATTTTCTCAGCCATTTAAAGAAAACAGAATCTAACACATATCTAGCTAGATTACTTACTAAGTTCTAAGACTCCATTCCTGTTCTGACCCTGGCAAAAGCATCACACACACAGACAGAGAGAACCTTTGTTTCTCCCCTCTCCAGCTTTTGAAAGTATCTTGTCTCCTCATTGGTCATTTTGGTCAGGTGCCAGCGAGGTTATCCTAGCTTCTTAACCCTTTACAGGTGAAAGGGTTTTTCCTCTGGCCAGGAGGGATTTTAAAGGTGTTTACCCTTCCCTTTATATATATGACAGTGCTGAAGACTGCGGATGTGCCCCAGGTTCCCTGCTGCCTGGGGAGAGGGGTCCAGGCTGCCCCACCACCTAGTGTGAGGGGGTTGGTCTCCCAGACGGGGTCCAGGGCTCCCTGCTGGCCCCAGAGGGTCATGAACTCTGGGGTCTGGGGCAGCCGACTGGCCCCACCAGTTCCAGGATCCAGGGTAGCTGGCTTGCCCCGCAGGGTCCGGGGTCTGGGGCAGTTGCCCGGTCCTGCGAGCTCTGGGGGCTGGGGCAGCCACGTGGCAGGGGACTGGGGGGGTGGGCAGCTGGGGCAGCCACGTGGCTGCGGGTGGGGGGATGGGGCAGCCAGCTGGCCCCCGAGGTCCGGTGGTGGCGGCCCACTCATATGTGCCCACAATATGTAATATGTTGAGAACCACTGTGTTAGAGAAAAGCAGGTGGCCAGATGGATGTTAGATTCAGAGTTAATTTGCCCTTTTATATAATGCAGACAAGTCCATCTATTGAAATTTCACATGTACACACTTTAGGTGTATTTAGTGGTAAATTTAGTTAGCTGCCTTTGACTAGTCTTTACAGCACATTAATAAACCTTGTAATGAATATGGTAAACTGTAGTGAAACTTAGAGATTCAGAAATTTTAGTAGAAAGTAGAACACCTTGACTGCTAATTGTGTTTGCCCTTTTTTGAATCTTTTTAAAATGCTTCCTCTGCTGAAACCACTCAGCATTTCTTGCCATGCTAAATTGTTTTTTCCCCACCCGATTTCTCTTGATTTTATTTAAGACAATATATCCTGCCCCCTCATAAACCTCTACTGGATGATGTTGACCCAGAATATGGACTGCATGGCTACCAACTACATATTGATATGCACAGCGGAGGACATACTTACATGTGTGGTACATTTCGCAATCTATTCTGCAGAAAAGGTAGAGTTAATGGAATTTAGATGTTCCTTTAAAAATGGTTTCTGGGTTCATTTCCCCCCATTTGTATTCAACTTCTTTCTGTTAAGGGAGAAAATAGAATAGGCTTTTAGGACAAACTAGTTTTTTTTTTCTTGCATTTTTGTTGTGGAATTATTTTGATGGCTACTGCTGGCAAATTGACAGTCTAGATATTATAATGTCTGTTGCTTTTTTTTAAAATGCAGGCTTCTGGATTAAAAATAAAACTGTTCTTTACGTTTCAAGGCTGAAATTAGGATAAAGCATCTTGGTAACAAACAAAGCATTTCCAAAAACAGAATTAATTTTATAACGTATTAAACAAATGTAATAACCAAGACTTGACTTCAATGTGTTGTTTTTTTTTAATTTATTGCTCTTCTTCAATTACTTAAGTTTGCTTTGACTAGATGTGATTTTTAACAAAGCTTTATTGTTCAGATACAATGCAACTTAATAAGCATACTGTGATTTAGACAAAGTATAATTGTTTGGTTTGCTTCTCTAGATTGAGATACATATTGTTATGGCAATCAATACAAAGTTGTGAGAAATTGCATAAGTGTTTGTAAATAATTTACAATAACATTTATTTACTTTATTTATTTAGGCTTAGGCTTAACAATAAAGCATGCCCTTGCAAAAGCTCTGAGAGTTCTAATAATAATTAAACTTACAGTAATAACCACTCAGCAGCATTAAATAATAACATACAAGTAAATGCGGCCAGCTGGCAGCATTAAATAATTAAACTCAGATAACAATTTCCCCAGTCAACAAATAAAACCAGAAAATCCTTTTTTCTCCCCCATCCTTCCCTCCCCCTTCCCCCGCAAGCCCCTCTCAAATTACATGATGAAAAATATGCATTCCTTTTTATGTTGGATGTAGGAAGTAAGGAAACTTTTTTTAAATTTTAAAAATCATATATATATATATATATATAACAAAATCTATACCCTATGAACAGTTGTTTTTTAAAAACTGAGGTAAGCAATTATTACTGTTTCATATTATTTTTCCAATAAATGGCTAATGCTGATGCTTTGTTACCAAATTTGCCCATTATTTTGGGGTACACTCATTTATTAGGTGTATTATTATTATTATTCTGGGGGCTGGGGTTCTGTAATTCTGTCAATGTACTGCTTGTGTCGCTTGTGTTCTCAGACGGAGCTCTACTTTCTGCAAGTTCCCTCCCGATGGAACTATTCTGCATGACCTAGGTTCCCCAGGGCTGGGTTCCTCTAGCCCCAGAATTGGACAGACGGACACACACACATATATTAACAGAGCGCGTTTGAGAGGAAGGGGTTAATCAGCACGCCCAAGCTGACTCCGTATAGGTCACTGGACTCAGCAGGCTGGGTCCAGCAGCACTTCCAAGCTGCCACCCTCATAGGCCCCTGGTCTCTGCACGTCCCTATCCCCACTTTCACATTACAATTGTTCTGGTAGTAACCCACTTGATGAGCAAACCCCCCAGGATTTTTGGGTGCTGCAGGGATCTTTAGCTTAGGTACAAGGAGCATTGCTGCAGAGCAAATGGGGAAGCCAAAAAACACCACGAGGGATAGGGGGAGAGAGAAGAGGGAAAGAAGCAACCAGCTTAACCATGCAAGTTATTTATTGCCAGGTAATAATCATACAAGGGGAGCCAAACAAACAAAACAGTTATAATATTAAATCTAACTTAAATTTGATTATAAAAGTCAGGTTTAGAAAACTGATCACACAAGTCAGGGTCAGAAGGCTATATCTAGAGAGAGAGAGAGAGAGATGGGTTCTCACCATTCCGTGAAGCCCGAATCACAACTGCCTGGCCCAGATGTTGTGCAGATATCCGTCAGCTGCTGTGGTTGTTGTCTCCTGCTTTCCTTATCTGGAAGGCAAAAAATCTTACACTTGTCTGCATAGTACCTCTGCTTGTCCTGAGCTTCTGGGCAGTAAGAATTTTTCTAGTCCACCTATATACTGAGGCTTGAAAAACCCACTCATCACCTAGAGCAGATGGAAATATTGCTTGCGCAAGTGTGGGTGGGGTTGGGTAGCCTTTATTTCCTTCTTGTTGGGAGGAGGAGGGAGGTACAGGACAAAGCAGCAGAAGTACCACTGATTCTTCTGAGGAGTGGAGGTGGTATGGGCAACAAAGTGAGGGGGAGCCACTGTATTCCTCCTTGGAGGGGAATGAGGAGCAGATCATGAATTCTGTGAACTACAGGAGGGATGAGGAAGCAGTAAGTGGGGTGGCCCAAGGGTTTTCTGCACACTCAGGAGGAGACGGGGAAGTAGCCCTGAAAAGGGTGGGGAGGAGATTGCATAATTGTTTAGATTTGGACACATGGAATCTATTTTAAGGGGAGAGACAGAATTTTGATGTATTGGGAATGGGAATATGTTTGGATTTGGAGATGTGCCTTTTGTGGTCAATGACCGCAGCATCAGCACAGGGATTTCTAGCCAGGCTGTACACATCTAAAATGCTAACAGTTCTATAAATCTGTGCGTGTGTCTTGGGGTCTCCATAATGAAGGAAGAAGTGCAAAAGGTAGATCTGAATGATTAATGAATTGATTTATTCATGAATGATGAGTTCATTTTTTAAAAGCATAAATTCTCAGTGGCTGTTGTTTGCATCGGATGATTCAACTGGTGTTAGTGAAAAGGTCAGAGAAATGTTCAGAGCTCTACAGAGTCCTGTAAATTAAAAGAGAGCTCCTGAGTCCTTGGAATTTAAGTGCATTGTCTATAGCCAGAACTGCCCTCCCTCAGGAGGCGAGGGTAAAAGTATTTTGGGTAAGATCCAAACTCATGCTGACTTGGTAATGTGGCTGACCCTTTGGGGTCAGAAGAACATTTTGTATATGTGAGCAGAGTTTTTTAAATATCTTCTCACTGTACTGGACCTAGGTGCTGACTGGGGTCTAGATAACTGGAATGAAATAAAGGCGGCTGTGTGATTTCTTTTTGTTTGCTTCTTGATATCCAGTGTGGGGGATCAGAAGCGCAGTTTGTGACTGGTTGGGGAGTTTAACTTCAGTGTTACTCACCAGTCCTGGGAGTATCTGCCTCCCTTTTGCAGCCTGCCTTAACCTTGGCATTTCCAGTGACGGCTGCCCCAGGCACCCCGGGTCACATATATATTTTGGGAATCCTTGCTATGATGTGTTATATAATGAAAAAATTTTCATTTAGGTTAAAAATTTTGCTGCTTTTTAAAAACATCATACATTAAGCCAGGCTGAAGGTAACTTATCTAAGGATTTTACTTCGTTTCTCTAAATCTGAAAGGTCAAATTCCAAACCTAGGTAATATAAATCCAATACAACAGAGTTTAGGTTAGGATAAATACCTACCATTAGCACAGAGAGAACATTAAGAGTTTCCATTTGAAGCTTTTGCAAATGGGACTTTAAAAAACAAAACTGGTTAATAAGCATTTTCCCCAAAGGAATGATATTCACTTATCCACAAGTCATAAGTTTTATCTGCGGTCTCTCTCAATGGGTCATTTATATAGCTGATGGTCCTTAATGGGCCATCAAGCAGGCTAGGCAGTGCTGATGCCAAACTGTCTGGGGGTGTCACCCAAAAGCATAGCACAAGTTTGAAATATAGACATACATACGTATCTATAACTGATAATACAAAGGGGATACAAACAGAAAAAATAGATTATCATGTCTGGCAAATTATAACATTTTTTGCAGATACCTCACATGGCATATCTGGCATAACTCATTACAGTTTTACAATATTAATATTCATAATATTCTCAAGTGTCCCCCAGATTCCGTGCAGCGTCACAGTATAGACCAAAAATTTCAGGTGGTTTCTAAAGGTAAGCAGCTAATTTTGTATTATTGCACCTAGCTTTAGGCACCAAAGTTTAAAATTTTTGGCCATTGTACATAAGGAATTGGTATTTTATTTTGTTCTATAGTAGAACTAGAGTATAGTTTGTTAAAATAGTATGTAATAATACTTTGTCACTTTAATTTAAATTGTTTTCAATGAAGGCTCTCAAAGCACTTTACAAACATTTGTAAATGGAGGGAGAGAACTTCCCCTCTCTGTCTCTCACTGCTCTATTTCTGCATACCATATGCGTCTCACTGAGGATTTTGTTGGCATAAAGTTTTAGATGTGAGCTAATACAAATATGCATTTTGGTAGCTTGCCAGACAGTCATGCAGTACATCAAATCAGTTTGTTTTCAACTTTGTTGCAATGTGGGGGGAAAGAGAGAGCAGCATTGTTTTAAAAAAAAACCCAGAATTTAAAATTTTATTAAAGCTAACATTAAAAAATTATATAATACATAGGCTGAGAAATGTGTCTGTTCCTCTGGATATAGTGCTTAGATTATCCACAGATACAAAGTTTGGTTTTAAAAGTTGTATGATACACATAGTACATAGGTTTCAGAGTAGCAGCTGTGTTAGTCTGTATCAGCAAAAAGAACCACCTTTTGTGTCAGCGTGGGTGACTCCAACACTGTATTCGTAAGCGATTGAGATCATCTATGGAAGGCTAGACCTGGTGTTTCCTTTTCCTTCATCAGTATGGTAAAAAACTCCAATGACACTCCCTCCTCCCTTCTTGCTCATGGTGATTTATCAGCCTTAGTATCTCTGCTTCAAGGAGACCTAGTTACTTATGAAGAAGTTCACTTATCTTATGAAGTGATAGTTTGTCCTTGTCAGATATCTATGGATTATTAAGATGAACACCAAAATATAATCAGGCCTCAGAATATTCCATGTTCATTAGAAAGAAACTCTTCATATTTGGGGAGAAAAAACCAACAGGAATTCTTTCCCTCTTGGTTAGCAAAAAGTTGTACCAGATCCAATATAAAGGCTATATTTAATTGTACATAATTAAAACAATATATTTTAATGGTTGTACTAACCAATGAAAATGAATCTTTCTTTGGAAAAATAACAAGACAAGCAAGAAACATAAATCATTTATTTAAATCAAAGTTTTCCACTTGCTGATATAAATAAATTCTCCCTGGAATCGATATTGGTTCAGCATGATAGCTTGCATCAAACAAAGTGGACAAAAGAGTGATAATGAAGCACCGCTTCTCTTCTCCTTCTCTGATGTTAAGCCTGATGTTTTTGTAGGGATTGTAACATTTAATTTGGGACTCTTTTTTTTTGCATTCTTTTTAACTTTACTGGGTTGGCGTCAGATTTCAGTATTTGAATAAAATGAAAATCCTAACCCCTCCCCATCTTTTGTCACCTCAGAAAATAAACTAATCCTTTGCATCTTTGAGACATGCTGGCTTGAATTTTTCAGCTGGTTGGGTATGAAGAATTATTGGTTCTTGAGGAAAGTATCCCATTAATGTGCAGGTTGTGAATAGAGGGTTTAAAGAAAGGAAATGTAGAGGTAAGAACATTCCCTGAGTGGCTGACCTAGTTAGATTTGTTGTGCTCTAACTATGCATGTATTGTTAATCTTTTCAGATTACATTCAAAATGGATACTTGAGGCTCACAGTTATAAGTTTAAAAAATAATTCACAACATTTACCTCTTGCTGGGAAAGTTGGCTTCTTCTGGAGAACTGATGTGTTTAAAGGCAGCGTACAGGTAAATCACTAACGTTTTGTTTCTGGAAATAGTTATTTAAAAAAAGGAGTGATATATGCTTGCTAAATGTGTTACAAAGTTATTTTGGGTAGTTTAACTTGTAAAAAAATCTCATAAAATCTAGATGTTATGGAGGTTGTGAAGCTAATGCTGTTCTTGAGAAATGCCTGCCTAGGACTCTGTTGTACTAAATTCCTAAAAGAGGACTGTCCATAAACTACAAACATGCATATTTTTAATAAGGAGATTGAAGTAATTTACTGCAGTACTGCAACAGTGTTTAAAAATACATTTTTAACATATTTAACTTTTGTAGATTGGAAACCTTTAAATGAGCACATATCTGAAGTAATCTCTCCACAAATCTTTCAAACAGTCCTAAAAATGAATATATACTAAAGAGTTTATGCTTGAATTTGACATTTTATAATATTATTTTGACATAAACAAATATAATTAATAGGAGTTGCCATTTTGCAGTTAGGCAGGATGAGCAGAAAGAAGTACTGTATGATGAGTGAGTTAATATTTGGTTCATACATGTTAAACTGCCTGCATTATGCTTTACAGTGTTCATAGGTTGTCCTGTGCAACAGTGAGTGTAAAATTCAGCTTAATTTTTAACAATTTACTACTGCTGCTGTTGGCAATACCCACTGCAGTTAAGATTGAATTCAAACTTCCATTGAGTCCTCACTCTTCAATTGTTTATAACATCCTCAAATTCCTTTTTGACTGAAATTTCTTATGCTTGGTCTTTGCCCAGAGGTAGGGTTGCCAACTTTCTAATTGCACAAAACCAAACACCCTTGTCTCACCCCCTTCCCTGTCCTATCCCTGAGGCAGCACTGCTTCTCTGAGGCCCCCCTCCCACCACCACCACTCACTCCAGCCCCCCCTCCCTCTGTTGCTCGCTCTCACTCACTTTCACTTGTCTGGGGCAAGGGGTTGGGGTGCAGGGTCCGGGGTGGGGACAAAAATGAGGGGTTCAGGGTGTGGGAGGGGCTCTAGGCTGCAGGCTCTGGGATGGGGCTGGGGATGAAGGGTTTGGAGTGTGGGAGTGGGCTCAGGCCTGGGGCAGGGGGCTAGGGTGCAGGAGGGGGTTTGGGCTCTGGGAGGGAGTTTGGGTGTGGGAGGGGGTTCTGACCTGGGGCAGGGGGCTAGGGTGCAGGAGGGGGTTTGGGCTCTGGGAGGGAGTTTGGGTGTGGGAGGGGGTTCTGACCTGGGGCAGGGGGTTGGTGTGCAGGCTCCAGACGGGTGGTACTTGCATCAGATGGCTTCCAGTTGGCAGCGCAGTAGGGCTATGGTAGGCTCCCTGCATGCCCTGGTTCCATGCTGCTCCTGGAAGCAGCTGGCATGTCTGGCTCCTAGGTGGAGAGGCCAGAGGGCTCTGCATGGTGTGCGCTGCCCGTGCCCACAGGCGCCGCCCCCGCAGCTCCCGTTGGCCATGGTTCCCAGCCAATGCGAGCTTCAGGACCGGTGCTCGAGGTGAGGGCAGCACATGGAGCTTCTTTGGCTGCAGGGACATGCCGCCTGCTTTTGGGATCTGCTCGGAGCCAAGGCAGGCAGAGAGCCTGCCTTAGGCCCGCTGCTCCGCCGACTGAACTTTTAACAGCTCAGTCAGCAGCACTGACCAGAGCCGTCGGGGTCCCTTTTTGACCGGATGTTCCAGTTAAAAACTGGATTCCTGGCAACCCGACCGAGAGGTGAGATTTCTTTTAGTATCTGCAAGATCAGCTGAGCTTTTTTTTTTCTTTTCTTTTTTTTAAGTTTTGCATATATGAAAAATACACTTTTCCCATTTGTATCAACCAATCAGAAATGTTGTGGTTAGAAAACTGAAAATAGCTGAATCTAGAAATAGCCACATTTAAAAGTTCTAGAGCTATGATCATTTTAAGTCAGAAATGTTATGCACAGTAGATTACTTTTAAACTTCTTTGAAGCTTTTTAAAAGTTTGTGTTGGCTCTTGAGTTTGTCAGCCTGGAGTTTTTACCCTGTTTATGTAGAATTCCTAAGCATGTGTATAAGTCTCATTAACTTCATGGAATTATTCATGGGCTTAAGGTCAATCGGACATAAGCACATGCTTATGTGATTTACTGAATCAGGGCAAAAAGGTCTTGATGGAAGATGGTGAGGAGGAAATGGAACTTGGCGAGGAGGGCAGGTGGTTATACAATGGATGCAGCGGGGGTCTGTGCTCTAGTTGCCTTTCCTGCAGCTCCAACAGACACCTCATCATGTCCCTTTGCTCCCCCATTAGCCTTAGCATCTCCTCCTGCCTCTGCTCTTCGCGCGCACTTAATGGTTTCCTGGCCTCTGCCACCGAATGCCTCCATGCATTCAGCTGTGCCCTATCAGTCCGGGAGGACTGCATGAGCTCTGAAAACACATCATCATGAGTGCTTTTTTTTCTCCACTTTCTAATCTGTGATAACCTCATGGACAGAGTTGATACGGGGAGCATAGAAACATTTGCACCTGCAGGGGGGATAAAAAGAGAGAGTACAATTTAAGAAGATACATTTCTGAAAAAGGGAAACTCTTTCACAGTGAATCAAGCAATTCACAGCAGACAGCACATGTGTTTTAGGTACAAGGTCGCATTTTGCCTTTTATATTGAGCACCTGCTGGTATGGTGACACATCACACACGACTGGGCAACAGAATTTGGTTTCCAGGCAGCCATGGTAAGCCAAAGGGTACGCGGGGTTGGCTTCTTTCGCCTTCATAACATATGGGAATGGTTTCAAACTGCAGGGCCCTCCTTTCCCATAGCAAGCAATGCTGGTTGGGTTTGCCATTTAAAAGGAGGGGCTGTGGTTTTGGGGTGGATGTGCAGCACATCCCTCACCTCCCCCCCCCCGCGTGGCTATTCTCCGGGATGATCCCTTTTAGCCAAGCGCAAACAGCCCAGCATGAACGGGGTCCTTTTACTGTTCCCTTACAAAAATTCCCCTATTTCAACCAGGTGATCATGAATGATATCACTCTCCTGAGGCTGACACAGAAAGATAAAGACTAGATTTTGCATGAATGTAACCAAAACCCGGGACCATTCACTGCCATGCTTTGTGCTGCAATGATTCCAGACTACTGGTTTGGCATGGTAATGTGTCCTACTGTGGAGGACAAAATAAGGCAGCCCTCCCCAGAAACCTTCTGCAAAGTCTTTCAGAGTACCTCCAGGAGAGCTTCATGGAGTTGTCCCTGGAGGATTCCTGCTCCATCCCCAGATACGTGAACAGACTTTTCCAGTAGCTGTACTGGCCGCAAATGCATCCCAATTCTTCAGGACAAATCAAACATTAAACACAATTGCTTTTAACCCCTGTACTGTAGTTACAAATGTGCACTCACCAGAGGTGCCTTCTCCGCCTTCAGGGTCCGGGAACAATATGCCTTGGGAGGGTATTGGCTCCAGGGTGAGGAAAAGCTCCTGGCTACTGGGGAGAACGGATTCTCCCCTTGCCTGCTGCACATTCTCCTCCTCCTCCTCTTCCTCATTCACAAAATCCTCCTCCGTGTTGCATGAGACACCCCCCTTGCAGATGTCCATGGACAGTGCTGGGGTCCCCCCCTAGAATGCAGCTGATCATAGAAGTGGCATGTATGGGGTTCTGACCCGGAGCGACCGTTTCCCTCCTTTGTCTTTTAGTAGGCTTGCCTGAGCTCTTTAACTTTCACGTGGCACTGCTGTGTGTGGAGGACAAAATAAGGCAGCCCTCCCCAGGAAGGATGATTTTAGAGCTACTCCCCTCCTTGGGGAGGAGTACAGCAGTCGATTTTAAGAGCCTTTTAGGTCGGCAGAATGGGGTTGGTTGTGTAGCTGCATTGCTTATAAAATCGATCTAACGCGGCTAAATTTGACCTAACCTCGTAGTGTAGACCAGACCTAAGAAGGGTTAGAAATCAAGGGCATGAGAAAAGAAAATTTGCTGAGACTTCCCTCATGACATCTTGTATGTGAAACTTTGCACTGACTTGATTATCCTATGAAAAAACAAGTGTGAATCAGATATTTCTCTTATGTTTTGAAAAAGTGCTTTGTTTTTTTACTTTGTACATTTGGCTGAGAAACATCAGATAGTTTGTCTACATAACATAATTAATACGGTGTGACCCATAAAAATGAAAATGCATGTCCTCGTTCAGTGTACAGGAGTAGTTTTAACAATTCTGAACTCATTGCCAACGGGCAGTGACATATCACCTGGTGTATATGTCTGTCCAGTATTTGTATACCTGAAGAATGCTAATGTACAAGCCTGGAAATACTTCTTGCATCAAAACAAGCAATAATTCTATATGTTGACTCATGTACACCTTGATATTTTATAGTCTTGGATAATATTTTTATACATTTTTTAAAGAATCGTTTTTAAGTATTTTATTTTATTTTAGTATATAATTTAAAAGGAAGATTAAAATATTGTATTTGCCACTCTGGGGATCTGATGAAGTGAGCTGTAGCTCACGAAAGCTCATGCTCAAATAAATTGGTTAGTCTCTAAGGTGCCACAAGTACTCCTTTTCTTTTTGCGAATACAGACTAACACGGCTGTTCCTCTGAAATCTGGGAATCAAAGACCTCTCTCTACAGCCTCTGCCCATTCCTAGAAGGTTAAGCAGGGGGATATCTTGCAGTATTTTTAGTTTAAAGGCTGATCTCTGTTTTGTGAACCTCTGTATTTTTCTACAGTCATGGAACTCTTTGCACCTGTTTTGGGATATTGCCTGGTCCATGGAAGTTTAAACTCCATATGTTTGCTCATAATGGAGGGCATCTTGCTATTTTAACTAATAGCACACTAACTGTGATTATTTATAGATATAGTTTTAAATATTTTTTAAAAAATGTTTAAAACGTTGCTTATGGTATTGCTGGTATCCCATGTGATTGCGGGAGGCTACCAATGGCATGCTTAGGCTACAATCCTATTGGTTGGAAACCTTTCCAGTTAAATAGATTGTAGTCCTTTTACAGTGGCCGTTGAAATGCAGTGAATTTTACTTTGACTGTCTACCTATGTGCCAAATCTTGCAGTCTGTACAGCCCTAAGTCAGGGAGAATTTCCCCTAACATCAGTTGTAGTTCTGCCTAACAGTGCAAGGACCATGAGATGTAGCCCTGTGGTAATTATGATACATGCTGCACATAGAAAAATAATGTTTTTTGCTTATGTTTTTAGAACTGTTACATGATGGATGTGACCCTCTTGGATGAAACAGAAAAACCCTTCTGGTGTTTCAGTGCCCCAGTCTACATGAAACTTTCTTCCAAGGCATCCTGCCTTTATGACTATATGGGCCAAAACTATGACTTAAACTATGTGGATTCAGAGGGGAAAGTCCACATTGAGCTGGTTTGGGTAGAAGAAACCAAGGAATACTATATAGTCAATCTGGTTCTTTATCTAAGCACTGAAAAAGTTAACCGCTGGTTTGGAACAAAATACTGATTCTAATAATTTGAGCAGCTACTTTCCCTGCTGGTAATTAGTTGATTTTTTGTGGGAAGGAGGTGGGGATTAAGGTTGAAATGAACCCCACAATCCAGGTGCTACAAGTTGTTTTGTGCTTTATTTACTGAAAACTAGGAAGTGTAGTCACTTCTTTATTTTTATTATTGTTTTCACTTTTGTTATTGGGGAGGGAAGTTTAAACATAAAAAGTAATGGCTTTCCTGTGAAGCACTGTGATGTATGCTACTCTCTGTTGCAAGTACTGGGCATGATCAGGGTAAAAAGATCAGTGTCACTCGATACAGTATTATCTGGCACAGTCAGATATGTAATGCTGCTTCTGAAACAGATACTGTAAATATGACTGTGTTCTCTCTCCATATTTGTATGTTCTACACTGTTTCTAAGATCTTAAAAACCACCTTGAAAAACTCAACTCTATGAAGTCTGAAGGAACAAAACAATGCCAGAGTGTTGTTGAGTGAGCCTCTGTGCTACTCTCCTTTAGATAATTATGAGAAACTATTGCTAAATGACCAAATTTATGCAGAGGAGGTATTTTTAATCGTAATTTATCATTTAAAATTCACTGTGGTAGGGGCTTTAAGGATTTAGATTGAAAGACACAGGGATGACCAATGTGGGGAAGAAGGCTTTTGCCAAGGGAAAGACTTCTATAGACCCTTTTCTTAAAAGTTGACTGCTAAACTGCTGTTGGGTCAGAGGAAAAAATGCAGTTGTTTTAATTTGGTTGCATGTATTGTGTTCCATGTCTGAAAGCACTGAAGCCCTTAGGTAGGAACTGAAAGTGATTTATGTTGGCCCCTAAATAAGGGGTCTGATCTTGTTTTCCCCAGAGGAGCTGAGCGTCATCAGTTCCTAGTGACATAGTTAAGATTCAGTTACTTAAATAGTTGATGGGTACCTAAAATACTGCTTTTAGTATCTATCTGTAGGCACTTGTTTGAAAATTTTGTTTTGTATGTTTAATGTTTCAAGCTACTTGGTTGTACCTTGTGGAGTCCAATCCTGTACGCCTTACTTGAAATCCATTGGGAGTTTTGCCTGAGGGAGATATGTGGCATTGGCACAATTGTGTCTTTTTAGTAATGTTGATAATGTTCCTGTATAGTTTGTTACAAATAGATACATTTTGTTTTGTTTCCAAGTACTTCCTATTACAGATGAGGTTGTCCGACCATAATTACTTATTTGTTGTCTTCTGTGACTTGTTTTTAACTGTGGCAAAAGTGATTTGCTTTAATATGTGTTTATTTGCCTCCTGTCTCTATAGTCACTTGCATATATGAGCCAGATATTTAAACAATTGCTGAGTTTAAGTATTTGTCCTTTGCATTACAGATATAGTGATTCTTTTTGTTACTTTGATTTTTAAATTTGTTTACTGTTTTCTTTGAATTCAAAGATATTAAGTAAAGAAAATAGAAAAGGTGGGTTGGTTCAGCAATATGTTTACAGTTTAACGTCTGCGTAACCTCGCCTAATCAAGAAACAAAATGTCTGTGCCTTTTTAATGGCCAATCAACATTACTTCTGCTTCTCTGCTTCAGACCAGCCATATTCTTATTCTCCTTCCCCCTCCCCATCCCACTCCCCTGCCGTTGCCTTTCCTGGCTATTTTATAATGATGGGTAGGGCATGCGCAACGGTGTGCAAGCAGGAACATAGGACTCCCCAATAATCATCTCTGCCACTGTCTGCAGCTTCTGCCCTGACCCCCGCCCTGGGATTCCCTCCCCCAAGCTCCTCCTCCCCCATTTCTGCCGGGGGTGGGAGTCGGGCTGAGCTCGGCTGAAGAGATGTGCCTGGGAAAGGCACTCCAGCTAGCGCTCCTGCTGAGCCCTACTCAATGGCACCCAGAGCAGGGAAGCTGGGCCTGTGAGAGGGGGCCTTGGAAGCCTGCTGAGCCCCGTCCCTTCCTCGCCTGCAGCCTCCAGTAAGTATTTGAAGCCTGGGACAATGGCGTGAGGGAGGCAGCAGGGCACAGGGGAATAGGTGGAGAACCTGGGGAAGCAGCAGGGCCTGGAGGCATTGGGTGGGGGGCTAATGTTTAAAGTGCCCCCCCAAGTAGTCACATATAAATTCCTGCGCATGCCCTTGAAAACAGGGAACTCCTAGGGCTGCCAACTTTCTAATCACACACAACCGAACATGCTTGCCCTGCCCCTTCTCCAAGGCCCGACCTGCTCACCTCCTCCCCCCTCCCTCCATCACTCCTTCCCCCTCACTCATTTGCACTGGGCTGGGGAGGGTCCTGTAACCCTATTAATTTAGCATGTTCAAGAAGATCACTGATAACTGGAGCTGAATGGAGGACAACAATTCCATTCTATGGCAACTCTTGAGATTTTGACCTTTGTTTTTGTTCTGCATTGGAATAACAAAAGCTTTCAAATGTTTTCTCAAAAACAGAATTATGTCCAAGTGTCTGTCTGTGGTTTTTTTTATCAAGCCTGAGCTTTTTGATTGGGGAAGGTAGAGAGGAGGTGTGTGTATTACAGGTGTAGCCATAACCTGGTGGTTAGGGGGCTGGGTCTAGGAGGCTGAGGCACAAGTCCCTGCTCTTCCTGATTCACAGCAGAATTTTCAATCCCAGATCACTTTATAATCAGGCAGATCAGAGACTTGGACCTGGGTCTCCCATATTCCAGGACAGCGCCGTGATCACCAAGCTATAGAGCAAGACAGAGAGCATTGGACTCTCTTTCCGCCCCCCCGCCACCCGATAAATATTGTATGTTGAAATGGGTACATCTTCATAAAACATTTCAGCTTTGATGAAACTTCATTTCCTTGAAAAATATTCCAATCTAACACCAACGGGTTGTCTGTCTGAGGCTAAACAGTCATTTACTTCTTCAACACAAAGAGAAGTTTCTTTAAGGTACTGTATTAAATTGCACTGAGATATAAAAATGAAATTAGATTGAAAGACATGTTTACTTCTCTGTTTTAGTTTAAAAACAAAGCATTTGGTTTTATAGCATGAGGCATCTTGGAGGAGTGGGACTTGTCAGACTATTATGTACCACAAAATGGATCTTATCACACAGTGGGCACCTGACCATAAGAAATCACAAATCTGAGGGTCCAGCCAGGAATCTTGGTCGTATTCTGAATGCATTTTCTGCAACACAGACTGCATGATTTGGATTAGGAAAGGAAGTTATCCTGATTAATCCAACTCTTTGCTGCTGAAAAACATGCTTTGCAGAAACTACCTGAAGCCTGAATCCCAAGTAAGGGGAAAAATTCATAGGGAGGAGTTGCAGACCAAGCTGGATGAGCAAGCATCTTAAACTGGTGATTAAGAGAAAGCAGAAAGCATTCCAGGAATGGAAGATGGGATGGATCAGCAAAGAAAGCTACTACTTGGAGGTCAGAAAGTGTAGGGATAAAGCGAGAGCTGCCAAAAGCCAAGCAGAGTTGGATCTTGCAAAGGAAATTAAAACAAATAGCAAAAGATTTTATAGCCATATAAATAAAAAGAAAACAAGGAAAGAAGTGGGACCATTAAGCACTGAGGATGGGGTGGAGATTAAAGATAATCTAGGCATAGCCCAATGCCTAAACAAATATTTTGCCTCAGTTTTTAATAAGAGTGGCCGGGTGGCTAATGGGAACAACGATATGAAAGTAGAAATTACCACATCTGAGGCGGAAGTCAAAATCAAACATCTTAATGGGATTATATTGGAGGGTCTGGATAATCTCCATCTGAGAATATTAAAGGGACTGGCACATGAGATTGCAAAACCAATAGCAAGGATTTTTAATGAATCTGTAATTAAACTTGGGGATCATACCTATGATTGGAAAATTGATAATATAGTTCCTATTTTTAAGAAAGGGGGAAAGAGTGATCCGGGAAATTATAGGCCTGTTAGTTTGACCTCAATTATATGGAAGGTCTTGGAACAAATTTGGAAAGAGAACTAGTTAAAGACACAGAGGTGAATGGTAGCTGGGATAAAATACAACATGGTTTTGCAAAAGGTAGATCATGCCAGATCAACCTGATCTTCTTTGAGAAGATAACTGATTTTTTAGACAAAGAAATCTACCTGGATTTCAGTAAGGCATTTGATACAGTTCCATATGGGAAATTATTAGTTAAATTGGAGAAGATGGGGATTAATATGAGAATTGAAAGGTGGATAAGGAACTGGTTAAAGGGGAGACTACAACAGGTCATGCTGAAAGTTGAACTGTCAGGCTGGAGGGAGGTTACTAGTGCAGTTCCTCAGGGATAGGTCTTGGGACCAATCTTATTTAACATTTTTATCACTGACATTGGCACAAAAAGTGAGTGTGTGCTAATAACATTTGCGGTTAACACAAAGTTGGGAGGTATTGCGAATACGGAGGAGGACCAGAATATCATACAAGAAGAACTGGATGATCTTGAAAACTGGAGTAATAGAAATAGGATGAAATTTAATAGTGCAAAGTGTAACGTTATGCACCCAAGGACTAACAGCAAGAATTTTTGCTATAAGCTGGGGACTTATCAGTTGGATGTGACAGAAGAGGATAAATACATGGGTGTATTGGTTGATCACAGGATGACTATGAACCACCAATGTGATGCAGCCATGAAAGAGGCTAATGCAGTCCTAGGATGCATCAGGCTAGGTACTTCCAGTAGAGACAGGGAAGTGTTAGTACCATTATACAAGACACTGGTGAGACCTTGTCTGGAATACTGTGTGCAATTCTGGTCTCCCATGTTTAAGAAAGATGAATTCAAACTAGAAAATGTGCAGAGAAGGGCTATTAGGATGATCTGAGGAATGGAAAACCTACCTTATGGGAGGAGAGTCGAAGAGCTTGGCTGGTTTAACCTAACCAAATGAAGGGTGAATATGATTGCTCTTTATAAATATGTCAGCGGGATAAATACCAGGAAGGGAGAGGAGTTATTTAAGTGCCAATGTGGACACAAGAACAAATAGATATAAACTGGCCATCAATAAGTTTAGGCTTGAAATTAGATGAAGGTTTCTAACCATCAGAAGAGTGAAGTTCTGGAACACCCTTCCAAGGTGAACAGTGAGGCAAAAACCTAACTGGCTTCAAGTTGAGCTTGATAAATGTATGGAGGTCATGAGAGTGCTTACAATGGCAGGTAGCTGATCTGTGACTGCTAGCAGCAAATATCACCAGCAAGAATCCCAGTGATAGGACACTAGATGGGGAGGGCTCTGAGTTACTACAGAGAATTCTTTCCCAGGTGTCTGGCTGGTGGGTCTTGCCATATCCTAGAATTTCAGGGTTGGAAGGGACCTCAGGAGGTCATCCCAGCCAGGGCTTTGTCAAGCCTGACCTTAAAAACCTCTAAGGAAGGAGATTCCACCACCTCCCTAGGTAACACATTCCAGTGCTTCATCACCCTCCTAGGGAAAAAGGTTTTCCTAATATCCAGCCTAAACCTCATCCACTGCAACTTGAGACCATTACTCCTTGTTCTGTCATCTGCTACCACTGAGAACAGTCTAGATCCATCCTCTTTGGAACCCCCTTTCAGGTAGTTGAAAGCAGCTATCAAATCCCCCCTCATTCTTCTCTTCTGCAGACTAAACAATCCCAGTTCCCTCAGCCTCTCCTCATAAGTCATGTGTTCCAGTCCCCTAATCAATTTTGTTGCCCTCCGCTGGACGCCGCTGGACGCTTTCCAATTTTTCCACATCCTTCTTGTAGTGTGGGGCCCAAAACTGGACACAGTACTCCAGATGAGGCCTCACCAATGTCGAATAGAGGGGAACGATCATGTCCCTTGATCTGCTGGCAATGCCCCTACTTATACAGCCCCAAATGCCATTAGCCTTCTTGGCAACAAGGGCACACTGTTGACTTATACCCAGCTTCTTGTCCATTGTAACCCCTAGGTCCTTTTCTGCAGAACCGTTGCCTAGCCATTTGGTCTCTAGTCTGTACAATGCATGGGATTCTTCCATCCTAAGTGCAGGACTCTACACTTGTCTTTGTTGAACCTCATCAGATTTCTTTTGGCCCAATCCTCTAATTTGTCTAGGGCCCTCTGTATCCTATCCCTACCCTCCAGCGTATCTACCGCTCCTTATGCTTAGGATCTAACTGATTGCCATATTTGGGGTTGGGAAGGAATTTTCCCCCAGGACAGATTGGTAGAGACCCTGGGCTTTTTTTGCCGTTTTTTACAGCATGGGGGTCACTTGCAGGTTTAAACTAGTGTAAAAGGTGGATTCTCTGTAACTTGAAGTCTTTAAATCATGATTTAAGGACTTCAGTTATTCAGCCAAAGGCTGTGGGTCTATTACAGGAGTGGGTGGGTGAGGTTCTGTAGCCTGCAATGTGCAGAAGGTCAGACTAGATGATCATGGTGGTCCCTTCGGGCCTTAAAGTCTGTGAGTCTACATAACTCCTGGAGGCAAAAAAGCAAGTTTGCCAATAGTAGGTTAAATGACCGTTTCAAAGCATGAGTTTAATATCCTCATTGGTAGTGTTTTTGACTTAAAAACAAAATAGAAGCCTTCATTTTTAGCAAACTGTGTGGTGTGGAAGGTGCTGGAATGACAGACCCTGAAGTGCGCTATGCACAGACAAGTGCTGCATGGGCAGCAGCAGCTTAAACTGCTTTACCAGTGTGTCTCATGTCTGTATTTGAAGGACCACCTTTAGCGGAGAAAGGATAGTTCAGCTTCCATATCCTTTCAGCCTTGGGCCTCATTTCACTAGGGTGCAGATTAGGTCAGGTTGCATTGACAACTTTGTGATGTGAACACACTTGTCCTCTGAGACCTGGCGTGAAACCACCAAACTCATTTTACACTGGCCACCAAACAGCCAGTGGATGGTTACAACCTTCTACCAGTACTGACTTGAAATGAATTTGTTGTATTAATATTTTATATTTCCAGTGTAAAACACATGAGAACTTTTATTCATTTAAATGTCTTTTCAACTAAAAATGCTAAATTATGCAAAGGAAACAGTGTAACAAACACAATGTAACAGCATAATAAAAACTGGTCAAGAAAATATACTTGCTGTAGTCTTTAAAAACTGATAGAAATCTAATGATCTGCCATTTGTTTTATTAAGGGAGCCCATGGGGAAAGGGATAACAAGTCTTTAATAACCTTATCATTTATCAACTTGCACACAGTGAAAGTGGATAACAGTTAAACTGGGAACACTTCTATTACAGATTAACTCTCATTAGCTACTTGGTCTCTACAAATGTTGAATCCCAAAAGAAACTACTTTCCATTCCAATTTTGTTCAAAACTCTTCCAGGGCATGACAAGTTCACTTACCCACAGCAAAGTTGGGAACAGAATTAACCCTAAACTAACTGACTTTTAATTTTAAAAATTATGTTCCTAGCTGTTAGGGTTGTGAAGATGTTTGGAATAATGTAAATCAATGCAGTCCTGCTGTCTTTTTGGGTCTTCAGACCAACAACTCCTGTGCATTTCTTACTACTTATGAGGGCTTGTCTACATCACCTGCTGGATTGACGGGCAGTGATCGATCCAGCGGGGGTCGATTTATCGCTTCCAGTCTAGACGCGATAAATCGAGCGCTCTCCCATCGACTCTGGTACTCCACCGGAGCGAGAGGCACAGGCGGAGTCGATGGGGGAGCATCAGCTGTCGACTTACCACAGTGAGGGCACCACTGTAAGTAGATCTAAGTACATCGACTTCAGCTACGTTATTCACGTAGCTGAAGTTGCGTAACTTAGATCGATTTCCCCCCCTCCCCCCCAGTGTAGACCAGGCCTGAGTTAGCAACAGAATTAAATTAACACACTCTGATCATTTCCATTTATGTCTCTGCTATTCAGAACCCCGTAGATAGCAACAAAACGGACAAGGATCATCTTGATTTCACTCTGATGGTGGATAGAAAAGCTATAAACAGCACCAAGGGAGAGGAGGGCGTGATGAAAAAAGGAGGCTGGTATGACGGACCTCGCTGGTTTGCCTCTTCACCTCAATCATAGAATATCAGGGTTGGAAGGGACCCTGGAGGTCATCTAATCCGACCCCTGCTCAAAGCAGGACCAGTCCCCAATTTTTGCCCCAGATCCCTAAATGGCCCCCTCAAGGATGACCTGGGTTTAGAGGGCCAATGCGCAAACCACTGAGTTATCTCTCCCCCATCAAAGAAAAGGGCAGTTTGGGGATCTTGATTCTTAGCAGTATGAGACAAACCCAACTTAAAGTTTACCAAGAGGTGGCTGCATAACAGTCGTAATAAATATCTCAGTCACTCCTAGATGTGACAGCAATACGTTGCTCGATTTTGTGTGTCAGTTTCTAGTGAATGGCTGATGGCTTTACTCTGTCTGGAAACAAAGATTGAGTTTCCATATGCACTCCTATTAATAGGCCTGTGGTTGGCCTGATTCTCTTTACATCTGTTTTACACTGCTGTAACTATTGACTTCAGTGGAGTTACTCTTGATTTATTTGGCAGCAGAATCAAACCCAGCTTGCATGAACTGGATCCTGTAATGATGTATGTATTGCCTGATAGGCGCGTCCATGTTTTTCAGTTCCTCATATGGTTGCATATTACTGTTTTGTAAAAGTAAAAAATACTATCTTGAAGCTCTATTAAGAGCAATGGGATATGAGGGAAATAGCATCAGCAGTTAAAAGGGGGACAAAAATCAAAGGCCAAAATTATTTTGAAATAATACTTGCTTATTCAGTAACCATTCTTATACCCTTCCAGCCTACGCAGAGTTATAGGGGATGGTTGGGAGAAATCGGGCTTAGAGTCCTCTGTATGTCTTGTCATCTTTTAAACAACCAAAGGGAACTGATAGGCAAAAGAAACCACGTGAGCGGAAAAGACAGCATCCATAAAAATACTTACTGGACACAGAGACCATAAATCAGAGTATTCCATAATTATTTATTATGGAGTTTCTTGCACCTTCCTCTAAGGCATCTGGTATTGGAGTTGTGCTTTTGGCTTAGATTAGATGGACAACTAGTCTGATCTGCTGTGGCAATCTCTATGACATATTATTGCTACTAGTAAGTTAAAGCAAATCCAAAAATGAAGAAAACTTTTTGTTTTTATACATTTTCAAAGACAAACTCATCTAAGTGAAAAAGAGAAACTGCCAGCAATTTTAAGTGTGTATATTTAACTACTATGTTTTAAAAGGGTAATTTACCTGGTAGGCAAGCATAAAAACAGTAGTTATGTTTATTTTATTACATGTATAATAGTGTTCAGTTAATGTAATGAGCTTAAATTGCCTTGAAAAGAGATCAATGGGTACGAAAGAGTGATTTAACCAAAATGATTGTAGCAATTCAGAAATTTGTCTTTTTTTACAGAAAGCTACATCAAAATGTTAACCCTGCTGTTGTCATTGGTGGCCTACTGCATAAATAAATTACTTTATTTGTGTCCTATGGTCTTGGTTTTTTGTACATTTTGCTGCAGAATGTCCTCCTAGATTTGTAGTTCTTTTCATGAATAATGTATAAATTCTCTTGTGCCGTATCCTCAGCTGGTGTAATATCGTGTAACTCCATTGACTCAAATAGAACTAGAGACACAAGGTGGGTCGGTAATACCTTTTATTGGACCAACTTCTGTTGGTGAGAGAGACAAGCTAGACCTGAGGAAAAGCTCTGTGTAGCTTGAAAGCTTGTCTCTCTCAGCAACCGAAATTGGTCCAATTAAAGATATCACCTCACCCACCTTGTCTCTCTAATATCTGATACTGACACAGCTACAACAACAGTGCCTACACAAATGGAGCTACACAGATTTACACCAGCTAAGGATTTGTCCCTCTTAATTTTAACAGTAAATATCAAGGTGGCGCTGGAACATTTCAGTACTTTATTCCGTCATTTTTCATTCAGAGCGCTTATCACAGGGGCTGCGGGTCACTGGAACTTTGGAGTGTGGCCTGGGGACCGAGGTGTTCTCCCTTCATCTTACCCCCCGAGATGTTCTCCGACTACATCTTCTGCAGTAGCTACTGAGAGCGCCAGATCTGCTTCCACAATGCATACAATGTTCTCAATACCATAAGCTTGCTGGAAATAAACTCATTACAAATGCTATGTATAGTGCTATCTTGTTACACTTTTCCTCCTGTGCTGTGCAAATCAAAATCTTTCTGCTTCTGATTCTTTAGACACTCACACATGTGCTTAACTTTACTGGAACTACTGAAAAACTGTATACATGTACATGCAGGATCAGGCTAAATTTTATGTGTTATTTTAACAAATATGCATAATTATATTTCTAATTGTGGTAAGCGCATGCATTTAAACACTTTAGAATGACTGTCACAGAGATGTTTATTTTTGATGATAAAACGTGTTAATTTCACTGTTTAGAGTACTCAGTGAATATATTTTGCTTTTTAGTCATCTGAATGCAAAAACTAGAAAGCTGAAAAGTCTTGTTTACCTGTTAGAAAATCATAAACATATTCAATAAAATGTTAATATCTATAGATGTAATTTGTTTTTGTTGAATTATGGTTTGAGTTCTGGCTACAGATTATTCCCGTGTCTTGTTTATTGATTGAAATTAGTTATTTGTAGGGTTATGAGCAGAAAGAAGAAATGTTTAAAAGAATGGGAATAAGGTGACTTGAAATGGCTTAGTATGTCTTTACACTAATACTACATAAGGCTGAACTAAAAATTGGACAGATGAAATAGTTTTTTCCACAAATCACTAAGAACTGGGATGACAACACAACAGAAGAGTTTCTAAACTACAGTTTGTGGTTATTTTTATAGCTGTTGTGAACTGTTAAATTTGATCAGTTAACTTCCTCTCTTCTACCTCCCTTATAAATCAAAATGGAAATAGTGGTAGCAAGGATACTTATAGTAAGCTGTCTGTGATAAGGAAAGATATATTGAATATTAGTGCATCACTTGTTCTTTTCTCATTTTCAAACTTGGTCAAATCCTCTTGGGGATTTTTCTCATCTTGTAGCAGCTCTAAAATGTCTGCAGAGAAGGATCAGAGATACTTTGTACTTACTGCAGGTCTGGTCAACACAGATGATTATAATAAAAGGAGAAAATTATAAGGCTTCTAAACACACAGAGAGAAGGTGAAACTGGAGAGCTTGGACCCTGGATTTGATTGACGTTGTTTCATCTCTCAAAAGTATATTGTGAGAGAACAAAGCACCAGAGCTTTACAAAGTCTGAAAGTGCAGACCCATTGAGAAGGAAATACATGTACTACAAGTCAGAAGTATTGATCAGAGACCAGTGGTTAACATTACATTTGTTCTACATATGGATGATTTCCAATTATATTCATTTCTCTGGGTTTTTGATGATAAGACTCTGTCAAAACAGCTGAGGTCATTAAAATAAAAAAAATCAGCAAGAAAAATGGTTAATAACCAGCTGACTAAGTAACATTCTTTATTCAAATTATTAATTTGTTTTTCAGTGCAAGCTGAAGTACTGTAAATCAATGTAGCCTTGAGAGAGCAATTCCATGTACAGTGCTTATTAACTATTTCCAAACAAAACAGGTTCAGACCAAATATGGGTAGTATTGGAGTTCTACAACCTCCCTCCGAACCAACCATAACTGCCCTTTTTTTGCAAATAAATAAGATAAATTTACAGTAAGAAAAACTCAATATTTTAAAAAAAATCTGGAAATGAACAATTAAGGTATGAAGTCAATTCCCTATTGCTTTATAACCATTCATTTGTCACTTTGACCTCATCTGACCCACCCAGTCACAGCTTTGTCTCTTTTTTTCTTTGTCAGAGAAATGTGTGGCTGGATGTATATTTCTGATTTCATATATTGTTCGTTAAATGTGTAATAAAGAGTGCGAAAGGAGGATGCTATAGCATGAGCCTATGGCAGAGTTCCGTAGGTTCTGTGTTAGTGTGGGGTTGAGCAGAAGATTGCTTTTGGGAATAGAACCAGCATTTGTCCTGTTACAAAACATGCTGATCAGATTAGTGTTCTTTTGTTATATAAGTCTGTGCAGACCTTGCTGTTTATATGTTTAACTGTATTTTGTAGGAACGAATGTGTGTGGGGGACCGGAGCGGAAGATTTTGTGGTGTATAAAGCTACATATGCCAAAGCAGGGAATGTTGTGCTGAGGAGGAGGTAAAGGGGGACCCAACCAGGGTCACCCTTCTGTCCAGCATCACCCTTTACCCAATACTGTACAGAGGAGATGAGTTCCTTCATGCTGGGGGCACTGCGACCCAGATGCTATCTCCCCATAATGTGGGCTGCAGAGAAGAACCAGCCAGAGATCCCAGCTGGTAGGGGCAGAAGCAGCCAAAGCAGGGACCTCTGGACATTCAGAGAACTCTCTACAGTTTTGACTGGACTTTCTCTGCCCTGTGCTGATGGGCTGTTTGCGCCAACCCTCCTCCTCCTCTTCTCCTTCACAGTCTATGTCCCCTCAGCTTCACGCCACACCCTCCTACCGTCTTGTCCCCTGCCCTGTCCCTCTTCCCTTTTCTTTCCATCTAGCTTATCCCCTCCTAACTAAACCCATAAATAACATTTTATTTATTTATTCTGTAGCACTATCATGCTGCTTGCTGCCAACGCATTGTTTGCTCTGCTGGTGTGTTTTACTCCTTCCCCCACCCTGCGTCTCTCTTGCCTGTCAGATTGTAAGCTCTTTGGGGCAGGAACTGTCTACTACTCTGTACAGCGCCTAGCCCTTGGGCACTACCAAAATGAACATGTTAAATACACAATAATAATATCTTAACGTGACCTCATATTGGAAGTGGATTTGGTGATGAGACAATGGGATTTTACAATTTCTGAGTCAATTTTCATGTTGACCTTCTGTATGTGGTTTTGCACATTGTAAGGGACAGAGTTGAGGCTGAATTGGAAAGCCACAGTTTTCCACATGCAGTCTCAGATCAGTACCAGCACGCAGCTCTTTTGATGCCAGCATCATCATCATCACAGCTTGCCGCCTTGTTTGCCTCTTCAAAGAGCGGTAAGTGGCATGAATCCCGGTGGACTGCATATAAAATGTATGCATTGTTCGACACTTCCCTATTCCCATGAGGACCACTTTTCAAACGGCTAGCTGCAGTCTCAATAACATGACTATGAAGGTTGATAGTGTGCCAACACCTGCCCCTCTGCAAACCCTCAAAACCCCCATCACTGAGGAGACCTTGTACTTGCTCTTAATGAAAAGCCTTTTACCTAAATTTCCCCAGCATTACTCCATGCAAATACGTAGTCTGTCCTCAGATGTGCAGGTGCCTTCCAATTAAATTACGTCATGGTGCCCTCTCACAGGTGGAATTTTATCTCTGTTTAGCGCAAGCTCCTTATCTATGGATGTCTGTAAATTTAGAGTATAGGTGGAGGCCCACCTACAGTTCAGACCTTCCATCGAGAAGTGTGTTTTTCAGTGCATTGGGGATTTTCATTCTGGAGTACTTCATTATAATTGGATCTTCAATCTATCACAGTCGGTACTAAGCAGGCTCAGTGCTCTACATCCACCCGTACTAATTCGCTGGTAACATTTTGCAAGCTAGGAGTCATTTTTAAATAAAATGCATGAACTATACTTATGCTGCCTTGATTTCTCAAGCAGTGAAATTTACAATTAAATGGGAGGAGGATTTACAGTTTGTGTTTCATACTGTAGCCTTGACTATTAAAATACAAATTAACCTCAGGCTACAATGAATGCTTTGGAATTAGGATACAAGCAGTTGTTCCATTCCTCTTTCACCATAAATTTGTACTGAAACCAATTCTCTGGCCTTATAAGCCTGCCCCAAATGCATGGCTGCTAAAGCTAATTGGAAACTGCATGTAATCTGGCTGTGCCAAGTTCCCTATATATTATATCTGAGTTTTGGTAATTTCCACTATCTCAGATATAACAGTAATGCAAATAGATTTAGACCCTCTTTCCTTAATACTTTAGGAGATAGTAGTGTGTTATAAGGCTGTGAGGCAGACATACTATCCAGGCTTAAAATAATTTTTTTTTCTACAGCCACAAAATGTATGATAACTGACTGGAGCTGTGACTCCCTGCCTCCTTTTGAAATTTGCAGTTTGACTATCTTCCAAGGATTACGCTGTTTGAAACAATGGAATTGGAAACAAACTGACCCAAAGAGGATTTTAATGCAGTGACTTTTCCTGACACCTATGCCACAAGCACTGCAGCAAATTTCAGACATGACACTTTCTCATGTTATCCTTTATTCTTATTTCCAGCTCCCAGGTAGTGCACATAATCTTCTGCAAACCGTGTTGTGTATTTGGCATTCCAGACAGGTAGCATGTGAAGTGATCCCCTCATCCTTTTTATTTTCCCTTCTCATTTCAGTATGATGTATAAAATGACACATGCTGAGTTGGACAAACAGAAGCTTGTACAGACTGA